GAGAAGCAACGAGGAGGCATAGATGCCCTTAAATTCAGGCTCTCTCGAAAAAAACAAAGGCAAAAAAGCTTGACCTTAGTATCGTTCCCCTAGGCTTTACTTTACTATCAATAAATAGTTTGTCTGAGTCAGGTAATTCATGCGAAGATAGCTTACAAAACGAAATGAGAAGCACAATCATAAATCACAATCAGCCGAGATCGCAAAAAGCAAGGAAGAAAAGGTTATAATACATTGAACATTAAAAATAATATCAGAGATAGAAATTTAAATCCTATAATTTCCAACAGGTATTAATTTAGTGAAGAAGATTATACCATATTTGGTTAGGTCACAATGATTGAAGCTAAAGGAAATAGGATTATAACAGTTTAAAGTAAATGAGATTATAGTGGAGATGATAGTAGATGATAATAGAGTGGATTCAAGGCTACGTAATCGATTCTAGGCTCGTTAACCTGCGACCAAACAGAAGGCCATACCATTTTGGTCTTTATATCTACGACATTTTAATTCTATTTACAAAAGGTTATATACACCAAGTGGTAGATAAAAAGTGAGAAGAGCTATCCATTAAGAATATTTTATATTTAAAATCAGGAGGAAACAAATTATTAATTGACCGACGAAAATATGGCTTGTATTTGTTGCCAACTGATCACTGTAACTAGTTTCGTGGAAGATGGTGATGAATGAAATCTATAAAATAAATGACTACGAAATTTTGAAAATTTGCAGTTATCCTATTTATAATGCTTTGCTTCGGGTTAAAGGGTTCAATGCGCATTAAAAGGAATATCTGGACTCAAATTTGTGGCAAATTCTAACTTAGAATTTAAGGGAATATGGAAACTACATTTCTTTGTTGTAGAAGATTTCGACTCATAAATCGGTTGTTAATGGAAAAAATAGTTTGATGTATGGCGCTGCAAGAACAGGTTGTGATATTACTTAAAATATTATGAAAATAAAGCTTTAAAATGCCAATGTACTTAGATATATCATCGACCATAAAATTTGGTGCTTATCTAAGTAGATTGTAACTCACATAGGCAAACTAAGAAATTGGCCAAAAAAATTACTGCCTCTAAATCAATCATATTTCTAGAATATTCTTATAAAAAGGTAAAAATTAGCGGAATAGCCTACAATTCGTAAATACTGTACGTTATATAGTAGAATCAAACAGTGCTTTGAAATGATCATATAGATTTAATTAAAAAATGAACGAGAATTTCTAAGCAATTTCCTTTCGATGTGATGAAGTGGACTAAATTCATTTTCACAACTTGGTTGTGTTGTCAGGGCGACCTAGTTGGATGCCCCTTGTTCAAGGTCCTTTACTATGGTAGTTATGATGAGTTGGAAGATGATTTGATATCCAATAGCCAAGGAAATAAGTTAATCAAACCTCCGTAATTAGATCGTAGATATAAAGACCTATAAGTGGTGGCCTTCTGTTTGGTCGCAATCTCCTTTAGCTTTATAATGTTTGTTCGACCTTGTTTTCTCAACTTCGTCGGAGCATCAGGGAGACCTTGTGGAAAGTACCAAGTCCCGTGTCCTCTGTCATAGTATTTGTGATTTCCAGCAGTGGACCATTGGCTGGGTATATTCCCAAATTTTTCGCTGACATCGTCAGTGAGAGGCGCCATCGTAAGCACAGAGTTACAACTGAGTTATCACTTTGATAAGTTGTAACTCTATGTTTGCGATGGCGCCTCTCATTGACGATGTCGACTACAGTGCCGAGGAAATGTTAAGAAATGTGCCCAGCCAATGGTTCAATGGTGGAAATCACGAATACTATGGCAGAGTACATGGGACTAGGTACGTGCCACAAGGTCCTCCTGACGCTCTGACAAAATGGCGAAAACAAGGTCGAACCAACACTAATTAAAACTTCATTCGCAAAATTCCTATACACATCTTAATTTGGCTGCGATTTATAGAATTCCCAAATAGTAACTAATGTATTCTGAGATGTATCCACCCTATTTCGTTTAAGGAGATGAAGGACTGGTAGTAGAATTTTCCCATAATGATATGAGTAGAACTGACGTTTCCATTGAATTTGACATAGCCTTGCTTTCCCAAAAGTTGTTCTCATCCAGGGTGAACTGCAGTTTCAACCTCGCATAGGTCTTAACAACATCCCCAGCGGAAGTCGAACCGTGACAATAACGGCTTCTAACAAACTTAGAAGGAAAATAATTTAGGAAGAATCTCATTGTTCCCCACAACTGGGAAGTTCTTTTCCAGAGAGCTTGAAAAAATAATTATATTTGGAAACGATCCCTCCTGAATCTCAGTTTGGTTTCTTCTGTGGAAACTCGATAATGAATCAGAAATAATGAATTTAAAAAAATTAACGTTTGAAAAGATCTTTAGACATGTTATAACGCTCTTGGGCTACGAGATATTTGATGCTCGTTTTAATTCTATGGAAAGGTCAGTTGGTTTAATTGTTGAGTTTACTTCCATTTCGAGTGAAAGTGTTGGGTGAAGAGATTCGAAGGTCGGTTCCACCAGAAGATGACGGCGGATTCCTCTTGACCAGCTGTTGATTGGCTTTACTAGAAGATTCATGCTGACGCTGTTTACAAGGCAATCTCCTTCGATTCCGATGAAAAGTTGCTAAGCTTTCGTCCGTCATATGACGAACATCATGAGAGCGAGGTAACATCATCACAACAAAATTCAATCTAAAGAGTCAAGGAAACTTACCGGCAAATCCCTAAAAAGTGTTATATATACTCTACATCTGGCCTCTTTGATCAAGTATAAAGTGGAATATGTAGAGTATATACACCACTTTTTAGGGATTTGCTGTTGAGTTTTCTTGAATCGTTAGCTTGAATTTTGTTGTAACGACGTTACCTCGCTCTGATGATATCCGTCATATGACGGACGAAAGCTTAACACGTTTTCACCGGAATCGAAGGAGATTGCCTCGGAAACAGCG